TGTGTGTGTGTGTGTGTGTTTGCAGGTTCCTGCTGTGCTGATTTCAGCAAGAACAGATGGTGCTGCAAGGGCTCCACAGTCCATAGTTGGTGTCCATAGTGTGTGTGAGTTTCCTTTATACCATAAATCCACCGCACTTACATACATACAACCACACACACACACACACCCACACACACACACACACACACACACACACACACACGGAGGGCTGCAGCGTAAGTGATGTCCTGGTGCTCTTTGGCCTAGTTGTCGGTTCCATTGACACTTTGCAGCTTAATCCTGCTTGAAAGGCTCTTCATTGCTAAGCTCATGTTTGCCAACACACAAAGCTGTAACACTCCAAATCCTTTGTGTCTGTGTGTTTGTCCGAGCAGGTTAGTGAATATGTAAGTGGTTATAAACACTTCATGCCATAAAAGAGTGTGCCTATTTGCTGCATCCTTTTATTTCTTAATATTGAATTAATATACAAAATAAACAATTGAATAAATAGCATAACGCAGTCCTACAAACACACACCAAATGGGTTACATTTGGATACAAAAAAAGAGAGCTGAGCTATAGAAAGAAAGAAAAATCAAAAGCATGTGTATAATCAATTGTATTCAAAAATCTTAACTCTCATGTTTGGTTCAACTGTATTGAAAATAATCTTGAAATGCTCAAAATGAGTTTGAAGGCTGAGGCAAGGTTAGAGCAAAAGAATCGGTCACACAAAATCACAACGGGTCTCCTGAATTATTTGGAGAGACTTGAGTCTGCACGGAACGTTGTTATTCTGGAACGTATGTCACATTAGCGAGTGCGTGGGCACTGCCAGGGCGGTCCAGATGTGGACCAATTCCCTAATGGACTTTTACTTCACAACACACACTAGGAGGCAAGCTGTCACACACACACACACACACACACTTAATATCGCAATTGTGTGTCCGTTCTCCATCGCTCTCCTTCCATTTTCATTAATAAAAGCAGCAGTGCGGCGGGTGGCGGCAGATGAGCAGATTAGCGCTGTGCATTACGAAAGCGAAATAACATTGAAGGATGAAGTATTTTTAAGAAATTAATTTCAAAGGGGGCACTCAGAATGACGTCACCTTAAATGCTGGACCTCGAGGGGCGATAATGAACACGCACTTTGGAGGGTACGTCGTGTCACTTTCTTCAACTGCTGCCTTGCTTCTCGGTTCTCCGTTCGGACCGAGGAGGAATCCTCTTGAATACAGATTGCTTACTCATTCAGTGGAAAATGTCGGAAATCACCAGCGTTGCCAAGTATCGATTTCAGGCCAAATGCAGCAGTTATTCGTCTGTCCTCATATTCTTTCAAACACAGCTCAGTAGTAAAATAATAGCATTCCCAAATAAACACACATACAGCGTTGTTGCTTGTGAACAGAACATAAATTAAACATGTTTGTGTTCTCATTCTGTCTGACATAATACATTGTGCCCTGAATCAGGCAGCTTCATTTTGTACACCAGCCCTCTTCATCTGCACGGTTTTAACAGCGACTTCTTCCATTCCAGATTGCTAGAGACGGCCGTTTCATCACACGCTTCCTTCCCGTCTGCCTCTCCGACTCAGTGAGAAGACGGAGACACCGAGGGGGAGCAAAGGAGGGACAGGAGGAGAGAGAGAGGGAGAGAGAGGAGAGGATTGGGAGGTCAGGGAGACGAGAACAAGGGAAGGAAAGGCAGCACATGAACAGCATGAGGTGGATGGCAAAGGTGTTGGTGGAGAGGACGGGGCGTTAAGTGGAGAGTGATGCGTTAGTGTGGGAGGTGGAGGGGTGAGAGATTAGGAAGATTAAAATCGGGATGAAACAAAAGGAGTAAGGAGATGGCGAACTACAGGATGTGTGCCGATTTAGATAAGAGTAATAGAGCCACAAGCAAGGACGGCACAGCCGAGTGAAGCGGGAAACAAAGATGAGCGGAGGAAGGTGGAGAGCGGAAGGAAGTGGAGGCAGGGGGACAGCGTGTGAAGGGATGGAAAGGGTTTGTACTGAAAGACGGGATGAAGTAACAAAAAAGCAGGAAGAGCCTGAAGAGCTGTGACTGAAATGATTCATTTCAACCGTATTTTTCACACTTTATGACAAAATGTTTTATATTAATATTAAAACAATCTTTACAAAAGCCACAGCAAGAGGACTTTCCATTAATAATTAACCATTCATTATCATTAATTCCCTAAATTGTATTTCCTTTTATTTGAATTTAATATTTAATTTTAAATCACCAGTCTGTCTGGCCTGAGGCGGACTCCATTAATATCCAGCCTCCGGGAATTAAAAGATAATTTAATAAATTAGGAAAGTCTAGTTGAGGAGAACCTCAAATAAGGCTCATCAAATAAAACGCTAATTTTTTGCCCTAATTCTTTTTTTTTTTTGTTTATTTAAATTCTACACCAAAAAAAAAACAGCAACAGTTTCTCTTGTCTGCCGGTTTGCAGAGTGACCAGTTATTTTAGGTTATGTCCTTTTCTTCTTGCGGGCAACATATAGTGTGTAACCTGTATATAAAAATATATATGTATATATATATATAAAATTATTAAAAGAAAGAAATAACCGAAACAACGCGGGGCTCATAAACTGCGTCTCCGCTGCTGTTAGGTTCTGTGATTCTGGTGTGTGTGTGCGTGCCTGCATGTGTGAGAGAGAAAGGAAGAGTGTGAGACGTTAGCTGAAAGTGAGAAAGATTCGGTGGCAACTTTTCCCCTCGGGATTGGTCGCCATGGCTACGCAAGCATTTTCAGCTGAACGTGGGACAAACATAAGGAAGAGTGAGAGACTCACAGGCAAAGCAGAGAGAGGGAGAGATAACATGGCGGCACTGATATATTGTCACTGCACCAGTGCGTTAATGTAGATGGTAGATAAAACTGTAGGCAAAAAAAAAAAAAGCGTAAACAATGACATGATTGCATGAAGTACTTTTCAGTTTAACACAACTCCAATCTGACTCGTCTTAACCTTCAAGATGCAGTGACAAAAACACGTCTCCCTCATAAACTGCAGCTAGGTAACCACAGGATACTTGATCTCCAACAGAAAAACACATAACACTGCAGGAAAAAGCTGTGAGCCAATACACACTCCGTGAAGTGCAATGGAAAACGGAGACCATCGAGAACAAACAGCATCAAGGGGCCGTAACATCTCACCTTACAGGCAGACAATCAGACTCCATCTATATTTTAACAGCTGCGGAAAACTGTGACAATGGGCTGTGATGAACTAAGATTAGCGGAGGGCACCTTTAATGAGGAGGAGGGCACCAAGGGATTGGGTTTCCATGCTGGCAGGCTAACCGCGGTATCACCTGAGGGCAATTTGTTCGAATTCTGTAACAAAACTTGAAGAAGAGTAATTGAGGTTGGACATCAAATCCCGTTTTTCTGTGATGTCCCGTCGTCTAACCTCTGTAAACAGACGAGAATGACTTATTTTTTACAGGGACACTGATGTTTTATGTTATTTCATCGTGATCATTGTTGGGATTATGCATTAATAATGATTACTCTTTCACTTACTTCTGAACAGCTAGTTTGGGAACACTAGTTTAAAATAACTTTCAGATATTTTGCTTGTAGTTTTTTGAATGATTTACTTAAAGATTGTGCCCAACAAAAGGACACACCTTTTTTTCTCTGCAATAGGTTAGTCAATATTTGCATAAAGTTTAGTAAATGTCACCGCTCATGAATTATTTATGGTGAATAAAAAGGAAAACAGAATTGTAAGGGCTGGTTCTGCTTGAGGGTGTTGTTGTGGACCTACCAGTGTGCGTGTGTGTGTGTGTGTGTGTGTGTGTGTGTGACGGTGAGTCCATGTTCAGGGCGACTGAGTGAGCGTCAGTGAAAGAGTGCGAGGGAGAGAGAGACATAGAGAAAGAGAGAGCGAGAGAGAGTGTGCTGTGCTCTGCTGCGCTCACCGGCAAAGTCATTGCTTTCTCAAGGACACTGCGGCTAAGAGGCGAGGAAGACAGAAGGGATGACACAGGAAGAGGAAGCAAGAAGGTTGCAGAACAAAACAAAGACATTTAGTGATGGAAGGCTAAGAGATAAATAAATAAGCAGGGACAAAAGGAAGAAATGGGAGTGCGCTAAACAGCAGATGGGAAAAGAGGGACAATAAAAGGGAGTAGCTAAGATACAAAGATTAAAAAACTAGTAATACATCAACATAATTATCCATTCATAAATGTATCATTGTTAATAGTTCACAGTCACAGTTTGCCGGCCTTCATAGTGACATCTTCCATTTACAAAATCAAGCTATTGTTTGGCATTTTAATCCTATCGTCATGACATAACATCTTTAACAAATCAATGTCCGCAAAGGTTTTCTTTGATCCACGGTCTAATTGAGTGACGCAAACTAAATTGACTCGATTCCACCGGGGCGACCTCAGACAACGCAGAGCGCCCCGCCGAGCAGCGGCAGACCCGCCCTCCACGCTGAGGAGCGCCGCCTCCTTCTGCACGGGTCAGCCTCACCAGCCGTCCGCCAAAACCTCCACGGCAATCAATTATTTACACAAACACACGCAGACCCCAAAGCGCGCCCGCTGTGATGATAGTGGGGAAGGCCGCTGGGCAAATTGCATAAAAGCTACTTAACACGCATAAGTGGGTCGCTTTCACCGAAGCGGTGAGTAAACTCCCGCAACCGCTCGGACCACAGCTCGCGACCAGCAGTGATGCTGAAATGTGTCTAAAAGGTGAAAAAGGCGACACTGTTCTAGAATACCGGACCACGCGATGAATGCGGCGCTTGTTGAGATACGCCGACGGGAACGGCAGAGAGCGCACACTGATGGTTATACAACACAGCCACGTGGTCGGGTGGATTTATATATATAGAGGGATGGAAAATGTATATTGGAGTCATAGATTTGTGGTGTGTACCTGCAGGAGTCCGGCATGTACACAGAGACACACGCAGGGAGACATGAGAGTGGATGCCGCTGTTCTCTTCACTCACCTCCCTCTTCCCTCCAATCGGGTTTATCGGCCCACTTCAAACTCGGTGTCCGTCAGCCAGTGCGTCCGTCCAGCGGCGACGATGTCAAGAGCCGGCGGGGGTTCGGCAACCTGAGAAGGCAGAGGTTCAAAAGGTCAGTTGCGACAGGGATCGTGGATCACGTTCGGAGACTGAGCGAGTCCCCGTACGGACAACGAAATGAGTTGGTTGGGCTTAGTGAAACGATTAGAACGATGACGTGACCTACATCGCTGGCGTTTGATAAGCACGTACGTTACTTAACTAAAGTAAGGGCAGTGAGTCCACAGTGATTTGATTTCCCTCAGGACACGGACCAACAGCATGGAGGTTCGTGTACCAAAAAGACGTCCCTGCACTAGGACACGGCTTATCCGCAGTACTTAAAGGGCGTTACGTTTCGTCGGTAGGAACAAAAGAGTGATGTCAGTGGCGTGCATGTGCACGGAGAGACAACCCACCGCCCTCCGTGTAAGGTACAAGAGGAGGGAAGAGAGAGCCGAGCGCACACTTAAAGATGAGAGGTTGAGGGACTGAAACCTCCATTAGGCAAGTGTATGTTTATTCTTTGTGGGATAAGAGAACTTATTTTGCCTTGAAGTATGATTCACTCATGTATACAGCAGACCCTCCTTTGGAGAGGGAGCACATTTCCTTGTCCTCCGTAAAAGATCACCAAAAAGGCCAGTGAAGAAAGCACTGAGGGCAGAGGGGTCAGGGACAAAAGAGAGAAAGGGGAAAGTTAAAGAGATTATAAAAAGGAGAGAAAGAAACTTTTGGAAAAAACAGCAACCAGAAAATTGAGACCCCGCAGAGAAAGTGGAAACTTTGGATACGTGCCGCTACTTCCATAGAACAACCATTCCCACATTTACCTTCTGTGCAAACAGATTACAGAGAGGAGGCCTGAATGCTGTAGTTCATTCCTGGAGGACATGTTTGAGGATAACGCTGCTTATAAGCATGTTTGCTGAATACGAATGTGAAGGGATGTACAACCGTAATGTAACGAGCACCCGTAGCGACCAAACTAGTTTGCATGCACTTCACCTTCAACGGGTTACATTAGGTCAATGGTTGCCAGACTTTTGAAATAGAAAATATATTTAAGTCCAGTAACTAAGCTCATATGCAGTTGTACATCAGTATAATGATAAAAATAGTATTCGCGTCAAGTAGGGTTTTTTTTACATGTTTTACAGTATGTTTTTCTTCCACAAATCTCCTTTTTGTTTCTGGTTCATTGTCAGATTAGTCAGACTTTGAACCTTATAGTCAAACTATTTAATTTGCTTCACCATTGTCTCCAAAATAGCTGAACACACACTCATCATTGTTGCATGGAAAGTTGTCTGGCAGTATTGTCTTTGAAATATACTGATAAACTGATTCGAGATGGATTTATTGTGGGCTGCAAGTTTTTGCTAATCTTTATTTTATTTATGTTAGAAGGCGAAGCAAAGCTACAGCACATTTTTTATATTGTACTTTCTAAACATTAGTTGAATTAATTTGTTTTTTTAGATCTCCTATTAGCTAAAACATCTTTACGCCCCATCAACGGATGAACAAGGTTGCGTAATCAAAATGATCTTGTTGCTTTTTCCCCGTTGTAAATGAATACGAACAGCTGGCTACTGGTAAATATCAAACTGCTTTGCTTATTTATTCTTAAGTGGAGTCGAGAAATGTCTTAACTGGTAATAATCCTTATTCATTTACATGCATTACAATGCATTAAATACAATAAATACCAACACCATGTAGGACACGTCCCTCCCTTTGCGTGCGTGACAGGGCTGACTAACCGGATTCCACGAGCAGACGGCGGTGCACCATCCTGCAAATATGACAAACAGACCCAGAGCCAAGAAAATCAAAGCACAGCAGTCGTGCAATTTGTTTTTGTTTTTTGTGGAAGCAGTCACACCTTGTTTAATAGAACATAACGGAGGTGGGCGTTGGTTGGTGTAGATAATAAGGCCACGGCCCTTCAAGACGAACTGGTTCCTGGTCACACAGCTCTGACACGCACACACAAATCAAAACTTGCAAGTACACACGCTTATGGAACACACACGTACACAACAATATATATACACATAATCACTCATCCTGTAGAGCTAGAAAACCATTGAATGGAGGCGTACAGTCAGATTCCGATCGCCAGTGACTCGCACGTGTTCTCGATGGACAAAGAGAAACAAACCTCTTTTCTCTAAGATGCCGATCCTTCACATCTCATTTGTAAACCATCACTGCTTGTGAGAAATGAAAAGGCGAAGGTGTTAAACTGAGACACGGTGGTGCAATGGAGCGTGAACAAAGTCATCATTTTGTGGTGCAGCCAGTGCTCAAAGCAGCACCTTTAAGACATTGAGCTCGGTCATGTCGCTGATTTGTAAATCAAGACAAGCCGGGAGAACAGCAACCGCATGTGTGAACATAGAAAAGTACACACCGACGGGGAGATTTACACAAGTACACATGCAGCGACAAACACACACACACTTGTCTGTGTGGTCCATCTGTCTATCTGGAGTGAATTCTGCTCCAGGCGCTGCATGAGAGCCCTGAGAGCTCTGCCCATCGCCCTCCCTGCATGAAGCTCAGTACTCACCAGGTTCTCAGTAAACTGCAACCCCCTCATTCGCTCACCCATGAAGTCATGGGATACATTTCACGACCTTTCAACCTTCCGTGTGTTCTCGCCTTCACGACATCTTCACGCCTCCGGGGAAACAGTCACAGATTTGCTGATTAAAGCGGCGCCGTTTAAAAATCGGCTCGATGACAGGCACCGATGATAAAACTAATGTTCTGTGAACAAAAAGGAACATGGCCGATGTTTAAAGTACACAGGAACTTTTAAATCATTTTTATGATATCGGACACTTAAACACGCTGCTGTAAAACCTGAGAATTTCCCATCCTCGGGACTAGAAAATGGATTATCTTATTTTACGGGGCCCCTGCTTTAACATCACTGCTAGCAATGCTAATAATTCAAAGTATTTGCTTTAGAGCTGCCCGTCGTAAGTCAACTTTTCAGTCATTTTAGTCTACAAGGAATTATTTTTTGTGCTGGATTACTTATTTTCAAGAAACGTATGGACATTTCCATGGTTTCTTGTTTGTAGGACCGGACGAATTTACATAATTCATGACCAAAAGGAAAGTGAGCCATTTAGTCACTGATGCTTCTGTCAAGTCCACAATGTCTCAGGTTCCCTTTGCTTCCTCAGCACGACTTCCCTCTGAGGTCTCCAACCATCACTACATTATGTTTGGTGTAGATCCTTATTATTAGTAGTATGTTAACGCTAATATGAAAACCCCACTTATCAAGCAGTGCGGTAATCACAATATTAATTGTATTATTTCATGAATGTTTCTTGAGCTTGAACCTGAGGGAGACGGGCCGCGCAATGGGAACCACGTCAGTCAGACACCAGAGCGCTTTCATGGAAGAATAATAGACGACTCTGATTTAGTTTTGCTATTCAATTTGCAAAGTAATATTATAATGACCATCCTGTTGTAATTTCATACACCCGCAAATTAATTATGACCTGAGAGAGTACGCCTAACCTCACTCTCAATTTGAAAATATCACATGTGATCCTAATCCAGATAATCTCCGCCGTGAAACATTTCTATTAAAGTGATGTTGTTGCATACAAGGTTCTGATTTATATGACGTTTAAAAAGAGCCTGCAAACGTTCATCTTGGATGTGTGCGAGTCTGAGCATTGCTCGGACACACACACACACACACACACACACACACACGGCGAACACACACAAACATAATGGAAGCGGTTCTCCGTTTATATCCAATACGTGCTTGCCCAGAGATCTCCACTGATTTAGCCTCGGCGTTAGAATTCCAATCAGGAAGCGACTGGAGGGTGAGATGGGTCTCGGCTGGATGGCGTGCCGGTGGGAGGTAGGTGTGCAGACACAAAAGGCCTCGTGTCTGCAAAATCAACCCAAGAAAACAAGACGTTTGCAAAGAACGTGGGAGGCGGATGAGACGGGGAAGTGGAGCCGGAGAGTAGACGGGGAGTTTCCAGGTCCGACCTGTTGTTCTTCATTCCGCTCAACTAAAAAGACAATTTAAGCTCATACGCGTGCAGCCACTGCAGGAGGATTTGGTGACAACTGCACCTTTATATTCGGCTTAGTGAGAGCTCAGAGAAACCGAAAAGCCTTCCTTTGTGAAAGAAATGATTTAGTTCCCTTAACTTATTTTGGCTAAATTGATCCCTGAGGTTCACGGACAGCCATTTAAATCAGCATAGACGGGTCCGGTAAGGAAAAGCTAATTGTTTGTTACTAGCAGATGAAATGTGATGAAGTCTTCACAGCGTCTTTAGCTCTGGGACTCAACAGGGACATCTGTAATTGAAGGCCGACTGCCCCGAGAGGCAGAGTAGAGATAATTTCCCCCCCCCCCTCCCCGCGGAGTCCAGGCGCTGGTGGTGATGGTGCCGGCCAATGACGGAGATAGAAGGATGAAGCTGATGAATCCGAGAGAGAGAGAGAGAGAGAGAGAGAGGTGGAGCGGTGCGCAACAGCAGATGACAGCCCGACGATGCAAGCGTTTAGCTTTAGGCAGGACTGAACTCCATGAGTCCTCCTGGCCGCTGTGGTCGAGCTCCTCTGTTTGTTCAAGCAAACGCTGGTGAGACACCGAGCCGGGTTTCTAATGCAAAAAACACCACACACTGTTCTGAACACATGCATTCATTCATGCACAAAGAATTCATACATACTGCAAAGAATTCATACGCACGGACCAATCATTGGTTGGGATGTGTGATATCTACAAAGGCGCCACTGTTGCGAACATCAATAAAGACCCCCTCTGTGTTTCAGCAATTGGTGCTGGTTTGTGGACACGCTCGTTTATCCAGGCGTGGGTCCCTAAAATCACAAAGGAGTCGACACTCAGGGGTCGTTAAACACGGAAACCGTTCTGCAGCAGAACGCACGCCAACGCACGCCAACACACACACACACACACAGAGATAAAAGTGCCTTTGACACCAATGCAGTGCAGAAGGCACGACTTCTGGCGTGGAACCGG